ACTTCAACGCGTACTACTTCGACAGACTATCAAGTCGCTGTATCATCAATTATCACTTTATTCGCTCATAAAGACAGATACAGTAGCTACTATGGAAGAAACCCATTCATTGTCCTGCCAAGTAGTTCGTCACAAACTCATGTTTGAAGAGAACAGCGACTCGTCGTCAGACCCGCGCCGGGTTGCATGCCTCCCTGCATGGTCTTCATCATTTGAGCCAGATGTCAGTCTTTCTCCATTCACCAGTCTGCCAATCATGTGCTGAAGTTCTTTTGCAAGTTTTGCCTCCACTTCATCACGAAAAAGTCGCAACAAATGTAATTAATAATAGCAAAAGTAATTTAATAATATAATTTCATAAGCATTACAATCTAACATAGTAATTATATTTTACTTATAATACAATTCTAATGATTGTATATAAATATAAGGAATATACAAGCTTTTTGCTAAACTACAAGTATTTTTTAAAGCAAGTAAGCTTAATACTAGTATTATTACAACATTACATGTAAGATATAAGCACTTAACTCTTATTATAATATGTTAAAATTTTATTATAAGTTATTTGTAACAATAGTTGATTGATTATAATAGTTATAAAAGTAATACATTGTGCTTTTAAGTTAATTACAATACTTTTAGTAAGATAATATGCAATTATATATATTAATATTGATAACAATCACCATGTTAAACTTATAATATAACTTGGTTTTACTTTTACAATATATCGAAGTGATTACATAATCGAGTACCGAGGATCGAGAGCATATAATGATGCACTTGCTCTCGTCACTCCTTTCCTCCTACTTCCACCATCTCCCCAACCCTCTTCCCCCAACACTATGTTGTTTCTTTTGTTCTCTCCAGCCCAGTCCTCTGCCTACAAGCATTCTCCAGCAGGCACACTGCCTGTGACTGCCTAGACAATAAACGTCACTGGATTCGTCTCTCTAATCTGCCACTGTGATGCCTGCGCTGAGCCTCAGATCTTGTGACAACACGGCCGAGCTGGCTACACAGTCCTTCAGTGTAAAGTGTAAGCAGCTAGTCCACTTCATAATAACTCGCACAATAGTTGCTCATCCCTCTCCTCCCAACTTCTTGTCTCCCTTTCATTCCTCCTGCTCCTCGCTCTGCCTCTTGCGTTGCCTCTCCTTCATTGTCCTCCTTTTTATTATGCTCGCCTTCTTTTTTGCATTCGCATTCGTGCATCCACATTGTTGACCAATGCCGAACAACTTCTTCAATAATTCCATGCATTTGCGTACTTCTTCCCGCTCAGCAACACAAGCAACAATCGGTGAGTACGCGCTCGCGACAATGTCCATGTATGACCACTCCTCGGGTGCAATCCTCTCTCTGACCCCGCGCACTCTCCTTCCCCGCCTACCATCCTATGCTTGACATCACCCTCGATGGGCCCACGCCGTGTGCATTTATATTCCCCAGTGCCGTCCATGACACCATTTTGAATAACAGAAGCAGTAGCCACCGCTCACCTCTCTGGAGCCGAGTCCGCCCGCACCACCCACTTCATCCTCTCCCTTCGAGCCAGAACGTCCCAGAGATACACCTTCGAAGTCATCCCCAACTATTACTGAGTCCACTGCATCTCCGATTGCGCGTCGCGTCGTAGCCAGAACATGCAACGCGCTTGCACAGACATGCTTTCCCCTGCAGCCCAAATTAGCTCGCTCAACACTCCGGATTTCCAACCCAGGTGACCCACCGACACTCGCTGCACACTGTCGCAGTGCGTTTTTTTCTCTCTCTTATTTTCACTTGCTAATCACTCTAAACTCGTCTCACAGGCGCAGCCTCAATCACCACAACCTGCTCGACCTCAATTCACACACGCTCGCAATTCAACTTGCAGGGACCGAGCGACGACCAAAACGTGGTGACGAAGACTACGTCGAACGGCCTGAGAATGCATTCATCCTTTTCCAACACAAATCCCACTCGCAGAAGAATGAGACAGAGGCAGCTAGTGGTGCAGGGGTTGGGACTGTAGAAATAGTGTATTATTTACTATTTTTGTATTCTATAATTTAAATATAATTATATTTGATTAATTATTTGATACAAAATTGTATACTAAGCAAAGGCAAGCTATTCAAACACTTGTAATGACTTGTAGACATTATAAGCAGATATTATACTTTCACAAATTAATAAGTATGTCTTAGCCTTGTAATCTTAGGAAGTATGTTATAATCACTTGTATAACTTGACAATTTATA